CTACAGATACAGAGTAGCAGATACAGCTAACAGGCTCACAGCTAACCTACAGCTACAGCTACATGGCTATACAGGCTACAGCTAACAGCTAACAGCTAGCAGCTAAGCTACAGCTCAACAGCTAACAGCTAACTAGCTAAATAGGCTAGCAGCTAACAGCTAACAGCAAACAGCTAACAGCAAACAGCTAATAGCCTACAGCTAGCAGCTACAGCTAATAGCTACAGCTAACAGCTACAGCAAACAGCTAACAGCTAACAGCAAACAGCTAATAACTACAGGCTACAGCTACAGCTAACAGCCTAAGCTAAACAGCTACAGCTAACGAGCTAGCACGCTACAGCTAACAGCTAACGCGAAACAGGCTACTAGTAGAGCTACAGCAAACAGCTAATAGGCTACGAGTTCAACAATCTCAAGCGCGAAACTATCAGCAGTCGATTCAATTTAGCATGCAGCACTTCGCCACCTCCCATCCTATCTGCTATAATATATGTGTGTAATACAGTAAATATATATATATATATATATATATAATATAAATATATTACTATATATATCAATATACTACATCTACTTTCACGTTATGCTGTTCACAGGCTTGGGAGATGCTGAAGGCCCTGAAAGCAAGCGAGAGAGAGAGGGAGAGGAGTAGGAGAGAGAGAGAGAGAGAGCGAAGAGAGAGAGAGAGAGAGGGAGAAAGAGAGAGGGGGAGAGAGAGAGGGAGAGAGAGAGAGAGGTCTTGCTAGCATGATTGCGTGTCGTCAATTGCAAGGCAAGTATAGCGGTGATCATCACATGCACTGTTGCAGAGCATGCGGGAAAGGTAAAAAAAACAGAAACGCGGCAACAGAAGCAGATGTAGGTGAGCACGCACGCTCTCGCGGGGACCAACGACGGATCCCGGCTATTCGCTCGGATCTACTGCTATTCCCGTTTCGCGTTGCGGTCATTAGAGGTTCCCGTTCTCAGCATTTTCCCATCAGCCATCGTCATCTTGCGTTTATTACATCGAGCGAAAGTTAGGATGAGCAATTGCGGAGAACGTAGATAAGGCATGCGGTGTACCGTCCTTCTCATGGGCTGTTTACATTATTATAATACATATATATATATATATATATATAATATTATATATATATTATATATTATATATAATACTATATGTAGGCATAGGCATAAGGTTACAAAATGGACCTATGCACACGACGCTTCAGAATACGTATGATGAAGTTCACTATGGTATGGTTTTACTAGATACCTAGAATTGGCATTGGCTCACACTAGAAGTTACACATTAACACGTTTCCGCCTCATTTCCTATTTTTTCCCCGCGCTGCACCCGACCGGTGCCATCCGATGGCGGTCACCGTATATTGTTTTCTTTCCTTTTATCTACTCAGCGCGCAGTGGCACGCACGTACACATGCATTGCACACACGCACACGCGGCGGCGAGCGTGACCGGTGACGTCACGCGCTCGCAGCTGCGCACGCGCATCGCGACCGCGCTGCGATGCACCGTACACCAGAATGCGCGGGATTGCGTAATTGCTCCGATCCAGCTGCGGTGTGCGAAGCACTGACGGAGTTTGCGCGCCATTACCCGCTGCTACGTTATACCGTTTGCACGCGCCACAAATTACACGCAAGCGGGCGTTAAATGTCAACGCAGCGGTGACGTCATGCGCGCGAGACGCACTAAAGTTGTTGTGCCGACTGCTGCTTGTGTGGGTGGAGGAAAGAGTTAGTGCGTTAGCTGCCGGGGGAATCTAGTGTGTTAGTTGCTGGGGGGGGGGATCTAGGGTTTTAGTTGCCGGGGAAAAATATAGGGTGTTAGCTACCGTGGTGGAAACTAGTGTGTTAGTTGCCGGGGGAGATTTAGTGTGTTAGCTGCGGAGGAATCTAGTGTGTTATAGTTGCCGAGAAGTCTGGATGGTGAAGAGTATCATTGGTACGGAATACGATACAAGATACGGAATAAAGGTACCAGTAGTGCGGAACACTATAAATAGTGTTGGAGATTAGCGTTAGAATCGTGTGTACACCGAGAAACGGTACGGAGCTAGGCCAGCAAGGCGCCATGTTAGTGCGGTGCTCCGTTACTAACACGCCATTTTGGTACTGGGCTAGGTCAGCAAGGCGCCATTTTGGTACGGAGCTAGGTTATGAAGGCGCCATTTTGGTACGGGGCTTGGTTAGTAAGGCGCTGTTGGTACGGGGCTACGTTAGTAACACGCCATGTTAGTACAGAATTAAGTCAGAAAGGCGTGATATTGGTACGGGGATAGGTTTGTAAGGCGCCATTTTGGTACGGGGCTACGTTAGTAACACGTCATGTTAGTCATGTTAGTACAGAATTAAGTTAGAAAGGCGTGATATTGGTACGGGGCTAGAGGTTACTAAGGCGCCATGTTGGTACGGAGTTAAGTTAGTACGTCAGTACGCGATAAATTGCATCATGGCATCGGGCACGAGAACCTACCTTCGGAATTCACGGACCTTCTCAGTCGCCGATGAACTTCCTCACATCCGATTTCTGAAATCAGACAGCGATACAACATCTGTGAATCGACGGTTAATCGTTTTCATAAACCTCTCATGAAGATTTCGCTCTTTGAATGCGTCATCTTCGCGAAACGTGCGCGAAATTATAAGCTCGTAACCTCGTGAATATTGGTCTTTAAAGTCCAAGAGGAAAATATATCGAAGACGGAAAGAGACCAATTTGTACAGTGTCGACAAAGTTGACGAAGTTGACAAAATTATAGCAGATGTCGACAGAATTGCTCGTAAGAAGTGCGGAAACCAACTAAATGGCAGGGACTGGCGTCATCATAGCATGTTATGCGTCTAGTGTGGGTGTAGATTGACGTGTTCATGCGTCGCGTGGTTGAGTAGCGTACGATAGGTGACGTGTCGTGACGTGGCGGTGACGTATTGTGTATTAACAAGCAGCGGCTGCTGCGTGAGGGAGAGGTGACTTACCTGATCTCAGTTGTCCCTTCAGGTCTGCATTAGTCAGCACGGTCAAGCCCGCATCCTAAAAGCAGAGGAGACATTCACAACGCATGTATACGTATATATATATATATATATATATATAGTGTGTGTGTGTGTGTGTGTGTGTGTGTGTGTGTGTGTGTGTGTGTGTGTGTGTGTGTGTGTGTGTGTGTGTGTGTGTCTTGAATACATCCCCTACTAGTTGGCGCCACCTCCGCCCACATCCAAGATCATCTGCTTTCATGGTTGAAAATACCTGGTGATGAAAAGTACGGGCGATATTGAACAGAGATGTGCGAAAAAACCGCGAGTTAAGTGTTTTATAACATAGCGACATGCAGCGAAGTTAGAGCGGGCTTCGTTCATCTGGTTAACAATAAATAATATTACAAAAAAGCCACTAAAACACAGTGGTCCCGTTTAATCGGGCTCCGGATAATAAGACGCCTCGCCGACACAAGCGCGCTTCGATAAACAATGCCCGCACGTTTTCACGATTGTTGGAGCGGTATCACCACCTGATCTGTACCACGCTTAAATCAGTCGGACATTTTATACGGTTCCTGCCTCCGATAAAGCGGGGCGCAAACTAGTATATATATTTAATTTATTTCTTATTTATTTATTTATGCAGATCGTTACCGTTTATAATGTAACGTGTCACGATTATATACGTATAATCGACGTTTATATAATATATATATTATTAGTATAATTATATATATATATAATATAACATAACGTCGCGTGCGTCCCTACCTTGTCCCTCGTCAGCTTGCCCTTGTTGTTCATCACGTACGCTAACGGCGGAATCGCGGGCCGAGCAAGGCCGACACTGATCCAGGGCCCAGCACCATGACGTCAGTAAGCTCGCTCTGGCAGCAGGATGATACTCGCACTGGTCTGACGTCCACGTAACCTCACCGTGGGGAGGAACACATGAAGGGAAGCCACGTCACGCACACACACACGTACGTACGCAAAGACGCACGCACACATCTCACGAACACACATACTACACATTGACGTACGCGCCACACACACACATACACACACACACACACACTTCAACTACACACACACACACACAAGGCACACACACACACACACACGCAATCCCCCAACACACGACATCCGCCCACACGCACACATGTCACACATCACGCCACCACACATCCCCCCACACACACACACATCCCCCAACACCACCTATCCCCCCACAACACACCCACCCCCCCCACACACCCCACACCCCCCCACACACATCCCCCCACACATCCCCACCACACATCCCCGCCACACACACAACAGTCACGTGTACTCCACCTCGTGCTGGCACTTGTTCTGTACGGTCAGATTGCAGGGAGTGCGAACGACGGTCGTGCCGACGGTAAAGTAGGCGATGATGCGACAGCTGGGCACCATGTCCGGACTGACGAGGAACACGAGATGAGCCTCGCTCGCCGTCGTAACCAGTCCCTGATGCAATCAACCCTGCCCTCTTAGTGATGATCTGATGGCGAGAGAGAGAACCATTATCTTGACATTCCGTAGATTCTATAAAAGAGGGAGAGGCGGCGTGCGGTGAGAGAGGAAGAGTGGGTGATAGAGGGAAAGGGAGAGAGGGGAAGATAATGAGAGAGAGAGAGAGAGAAGAGAAAAGAGAGAGAGAAAGAGAAGAAGAAGAGGTGCACAGAAAGATAGAGATGTAGAAAGAGAGAGAAAGCGCGCGAGAGAGAGAATGCGTGAGAGAGAAAGCGCGCGAGAGAGATGGAAAAGGGGGAGATAGAGAGGGGAGAGAGAAAGCAAGGGAGAGAGCGCGCGCACAACAAGAAAGACAGAGAGCGAGAGAGAAGTGTGTGTGTGTGCGCGAGAGAGCGAGAGAAACGCCGGTG